TTTTTTTTTTTTTTAACCAAAGCCCTATCTACCTCTTTAAACATATTATTGCTTCAGTGTCTAATTATAGAAGCCAATCAATATAACTACTATATATGGAAATGTCAGGGTTAAACACACACGATGAGGAAAATGAATTTTGAAGTGAGTGTGGCTAAAAGGAAGTGAAAATGCAGTACACTGTAACGTAAAATCTCTTATCTGGAAGTTGACCTTAAACTTCATGTCTGTCTGTCATATCTAAAGCATGTGTTAACACTTTGCCGTTCTGCAGTAAAGTCATAAAAATGCTGATTATGAAACAAGTGTAGCATTTAGGCTGAAGTATCTGATCCAACTGCAACATCACAAAGTGAGTACTGAAAAATTCTATGCATTTGTAACTTTTTGAAGGATTTAGACTAGTACAACCTGAAATGTGACCACTCCCCTCAAAATTGTATTTACATGTTAATGCAGCCATGAGTGGAAATTGCACTCCCCCTCATGTGTTACTGTGACAGGCTGCTTGCAAAAAAGTGCCTAAGATACTATTTAAAAGTTGTTCTTTGTTGAGTCAGTTTTTATATTTGAATGATTCACAAGTAAAAACAAAAAAAAAAAAAGATTGGTGCACAGGCAGTTTACAGACAGTAGCTTTTTAACTATTGTACAGTATTATACTGAAAGTCCAAATAACCCGCTACTACTGTCTAATGCTGGCAATGTCTTGGTACCAGTGATGGGAATGACAGTGTAACGGTGTTACTAATGGCATTACTTTTTACAGTAACGAGTAATCTAACTAATTACTATTCCTATCATTACAACGCTGTTACCCTTACTAACAAGAAAATGCGGTGCGGTCGCGTTACTATTTTTCAACAAACAGACAGTTGAAGCTGTGTTCAGCTTACCGTACCTTATATCAGTTGCACGGAAGTAGTTGTAAGTAATCTGGGCACTACAGCCTTAAGCAGCTGTGCGCGCTCCCGTGGGTGGCAATCACTTTCTTGCAGATGATCACTGTTTGGCACAACACCTGTCTAACCTTTCTGAACAAGGAAATTACTTCTGATTTGATCACTTCCAAACTCGCCCCGATTTTCTACACAGCTCAATTAGTTCTGATTCGACCTCATTTTTATTCGTTGACAAAACTGTCAATACATGTGATCATAGTTATCCTGTTTTCGTCAGAAAAAATAAGACAATTATTGGTTAATGAAATGAACACTCATTTTTGGAGAAAAACATTGATTGTCACACAATATCAGACATTAAAGCATAACAGCCATACTGATTAAAATTTATTTTATTTTAAAGTGAAAAAACAAATTTTTTGTAGCCACATATAACCATTAAACTTTTAGCATCATGAAAGCGTCACACACTGTAAACAGGTTGCTGTAAATTTTGCAAGTAATTAGCTGTAAAAGGATTCACAGGAATCGTCTTTGTAAGCACTTTTTACATCTTGCTGAAACAGCATTTTCTATAAATTTGCTTTGACGGGATTTCACAGAAATTTACATTTACAGTAGTTACTAGAGATGGACCGATCCGATATTACGTATCGGTATCGGT